CACACGCGCTGGAGCCCCCACGAACCAGCCCCTGGCTCACCCTGCCAGCCAGGGAAGCAGGGCAGGGAGATCCCGTGTTGTCCTCTCTCCTGCACCCCTGTGATGCCCCAGTCCTGAGCCTGTCCCATTGCCAGGAGGGTCCTGTGGAGCCAGAGACCTTCCTGCGAGCCGCCGTCCAGGGCAAGATGCACATCATTGAGAAGTTTCTGGCAGATGGCGGCCCTCCCGATACATGTGACGAGGTAGGTGTTCCCCATGGCCGCTGGCTGCCCACCTGCCCCATGCTGTGCTGCCATGCCCCGTGTGCCTCTTGGTGGTGGCTGTTCCCCCCAGGATGTGTGTACAGCCGGGCTGGGACAGGGGAATGGATGCAGCTGCCAACACGGTGCCTCATCCCCAGTTCCACCGCACGGCCTTGCACCGCTCCTCGCTGGAGGGTCACACAGACATACTGCAGAAGCTGCTGGGCAGTGGGGCCAGTGTCGACTTCAGGGACCGGGTGAGGCTGGATCCTGCCCCTGGCTCAGTGCTGGTTTGAGCCTCTGGGCACAGCACAGCCAGGGCAACAGCAGGGTTGGGGTTCCTGTGGCTGGGCAGTGCCAGCCCCACTGTGACCATGGCAGGGCTCTGCCAGCTCAGCCTGGGCATGGGAACTGGCTGGGGCAGGAGACAGAAATGGGGTAGGGATGTCCCCCGCTGTGACATGGCTCTGTGCTCAGCTGGACTGCACCGCTGTGCACTGGGCCTGCCGGGGCGGGCACCTGGATGCTGTCAAGCTGCTGCAGGACCATGGGGCAGACCTCAACCTGAAGGACAAGGTGTGCAGGGCAGAGTCCAGGGGCACAGGCTGTGCTGGGGACATGGGCATGGCCTGAGGGGTCAGGGCTGGCCCTATGTTGGGTTAGCAGGAGTGGATGCTGATCCTCTATAGCGTCCATCTCCTCTCCCTGAAGCTGCTCAGCACCCCTCTCCATGTGGCCACCCGGACCGGGCACCTTGACATTGTGGAGCACCTAATCCACTGTGGGGTGGACATCAACTCCCCAGACAGAGTGAGTGCTGCGGCCATGCAGCCAGCACTGGAAATGCAAAGCTGATCCTCCCTCCCTTGGCTGACCCCTCTAGGGACTCCCAGCACCCACAAGGGAGAATGTCTGGACACACATGTTCGTGCCCCAGGGTGCTGGCAGTCACAGACAGGGCTGGGGTGGGCACCGTCCCCCTTGTTCCCATGGGGAGGCGGGTGTGCAGGGAGCTGGGAGCAGTGCCACAGGCGGAGGATCCCTCTTCCTGAAGCTGGATCATGACCCCAGGATGGGCTGCATCTCTCACAGGAGGGCGACACAGCGTTGCACGATGCCACGCGGCTCAGCCGCTACAAGATCATCAAAATGCTGATCCTGCACGGGGCCGACATGATGGCCAAGAATGAGGTGAGTGAGGTGAGGCCAGGTCTGGGGCCATTTGCTGCCCCACTGTGTCATGCCACGCTGGTCTCAGCCTCCCTCTGCCTGCAAGAGCAGGCTGGCAAGACCCCTACGGACCTCGTGCAGCAGTGGCAGGTGGATACACGCCAGGCACTGGAGACCAAGGCACAGCCACAGGAGGAAATGGAAGTCCCTGCATGACAGTGCTGGGCAGGGACAAGGGACTGCGCTTGGTTCCAAGGAGCAAGATCCAGCCCAAACCTGTCTGTGTCAATAAAAGCCAGCAAAGTGCAGCGTTTGGCTCCAGAGAACTGTGGGGCTGGGGGTAATGGGTCTGGGGAAGCTGGATTAGCCAAGGAATTGGATTATGCAGCACCATGACTTTAGTGTTCGTGACACCATGAGGCCAGGACACAAGTGGTTCAAGGACGGGACTCATCACTGTGGGATGCTCTGGTTGCTCGCAGTGCTTCAAGGTCCCACCCGGACAAACTCAGGGAGGAAAACTACATCAAGGGCAGCACAATCTGGGTCCATGATGTGTTGGTGGGGGCTGGGGTTGTGCCCAGGGAGCAGCAATTGTACCTCTGCTGAGCAGCCTTCCCCACTGCAGCCATCCCCAGGGGGACATGGCAGCCCTGTTGCAGGCTGGGTCACTTCTGCTAAGCACAGTGCTCATTGCTCCCTACCCAGAAATTATCTCACTCATCTGTTTACAAGAGACCCTACACCAACACCCAGAGCAGATGAACCCTGGCCACAGCCCTGGGACTCATTGCAATGCCTGGTCCCTCCTCGGCCCTGCAGCCTGGCCCCGGAGGTGGCAGAGGGATGGCTGCCAGGGCTGGCAAGGAGAAGGGAAAGCACAACAGGGGCAGCCAGGGCTCACTCAGAGGAGTGCTGAGCTCCTGTGGCCAGCTCCTGAAGCGGGGAGAGCACCCTGAGTTCACCTGGTACCACCCCCTGCATCATCCGTCCAGCCTGGTTGTGGTTCCCTCACGTGCCCCGTCAAACATTAACAGCCCCTCGGCAGGGTGGGCGGCACAGCCGGTGGCAGCACCCATCCACCATGGCGCTCAGCACCCGCCTTGCTTCACCCCTCTGGCCTGCTCTGGCAGCTCTGTGCCAGGCAGCCCCCAGGCAGCACCGGAGGCTCAGCACCTCCCCAGGACTGGGGCACACGCTCGACCTTGGGGGCATCTTCCCGCCCCTTGCCACCCCCTTCTCGCCCACACAGGAGGTGGACTATGCCCGACTGGAGGAGAACCTGCGCCGCTACGCCAGCATCCCCTTCCGAGGTAAGTGCTGCCCTCTCTGTGCAGGGTCTTGCCAGACCCCTGCCCACCACAGGGGCTGTGCATCAGCAGGCAGGCAATCCAAGTGTGCTCAGCTTCCAGGTGGACTTTGCTTCACGGCTGGGGCCCTTTGCACAGGAAGTGTCCAGGGGTGAAGAAGAGAGAGAAGATGATGGGAATACCCATCATGCTGTAGCCCAGGATGCCATGGCAGGGCCCAGCAGCACTGGGCTAGATCTGGCCTGTTTGTACCCATGGAGCTGGCAAGGTCCCAAGAAAGGAACCTTCTGTCTGCCCTAGCTGGGTACAGAGTGGCACAGCCCTGCTGCAGGCACCAGTAAATCCCTCACTAGTGGTGCTTTGTGGAGTGGTTTCTGAGGGACGGAGGTAGGCAGGTTGTGTGCTCAGCCTACAGGGTGCACGCATGGAATGCACGAGGGTGTCTGGTTAGAGGATGGCACAGCCAGTGTTCAGTGCAGTGCGGGTGGGCACTGTGATCTGAGGGGCACATGCACTTTGTAGGAGAGCTCAGGGCATCACTAGAGCACCTGTGGGAGCCATCTGGCCCAAGGGAGCTGCTGGACGCAAGCATTGGGCTCCTCTAGGTGCCTGGTGCCCGCACAAGAGTGGGGTGTGGAGAATTCAGGGACAGCTTCTCCGTGGGAACCCTGCTCTTCCACACACTTCTGTTTCAGGGCTGGTGGTGCTGGGCTCCAATGGGGAGTACCCCTACCTGACACCCCCTGAGCAGCTGGAGGTGGTGGGCTGTGTGCGCCGGGCTCTGCCCAAGGACTGCCTGCTGCTGGCTGGCTCGGGCTGTGAATGTGAGTGCCTGTGTGGGCAGTGGGGGGGCCATGTGTCCCCCCCTAGGCCATTCCTCACCCCTCTGCCTCCTCCCCAGCCACCCAGGCCACCATCAAGCTGACAGTCAGCATGGCAGAGGCAGGGGCTGACGTGGCGCTGGTCGTGACACCTTGCTACTACCGGGGTGCCATGACCAGCACTGCCCTGATGCAGCACTACACTGAGGTAAGCTGTACCCAGTGCCCACCGGCAGCTCCAGCTGGGGCAGCAGGATGGAGAATGTGTCCCGCACATCTCCAACTCACCCCAGCTGCTGAGCTCTGCTTGGCTGCCTGCAGGTTGCAGATGCATCCCCCATCCCCGTGGTGCTCTACAATGTCCCTCCCAACACCGGCCTGGACCTGCCCCTGGAGGCCGTGCTCACCCTGGCTCAGCACTCCAACATTGTTGGGATCAAGGACAGCAGTGGGGACGTGAGTTGGGCAGGGCTTTCCTGGGGCTGGCTGCCACCAAACCTGGCCCTGGGCAGCCTTTCCCTGGACCCCAGGAGTGTCGCAGGAGTTCTGCAGTGAGGGATGGGGTGATGCCTGTTTGTCTCTCTCCAGATCACCCGCATGGGGCTGATGGTCCACAAGACGCAGCAGGAGGATTTCCAGGTGCTGGCAGGATCAGCTGGCTTCTTGCTGGCAAGCTACGCCCTGGGTAGGTGCTGCTGACCCTCCTTGGCCAGGGGCACAGGGTGCTGCCCTGGTGGCACTGGTAGGGACTGGGCGCTGGGCAGGGGAAGGCAGATGAGGGGCAGTGATGCCCGGTAGATGCTGCC